ATCGCACATTTCGCGTCAGATCTGGCTCCACAATCAATACTCTCGGGTCGTATATCAGTTCTTCGGGCGCTATCATCGGTATCGTAATAAACGCCGACCAGTAATGAATGCTAGGTTGGAGTACCAGACAGGATACAAATGTTCAATAATCTAGATATTGCTGTGATGGAGAACGTACCCGTAATATCATATCCAATAGTGTGTGATTGTACGATCCGTGGAACCGTATCGAATCACACACATTACATCCTCGGACTAGACGCTGTGGCTAAAATAGTTAATAATAATTCAGTTCAATTGTTATTAGTTTCGAACGAACTCTTTACTCGACCTAATATAAGGTGTATCGATAAATAATCCAGTATATTTTTCCAAATTTGATATTCAACTTACAAGAAATCAATTTTATTTTGCTAGTGATATGCATCCTTGTTCTCGATCATCGTTCGCCATTTTCAGAAAATTCGTTTCTTTGACGTGTCGACAACTTTTCTGAACGTTACATCCTGAAACGATAATACATCCAAAATGCACCATTTCGTTCCAGTCCTGTTCTTTCGGAACGAACTTCTTACTTAACTTGATCGAATAAACGTCTTATCGTCCCTGATTGATAGGATTTGATCCCGTACCTTTGATCGACGTGTACACAGAAAATTCTTCTCCTCGGCAGCTTTCGGTACACTTCGTGTTCCGGAAGTGATACCACGTGAGTAAATTGAATCGTACGGCACACACACGGATCCTATTTAGTCGCGGAAACCCTTCCCCGAAGTTGTTCGGAAAAGGGAACACAGGGAAGTTAGCCGAAAGTCGAGCATCCACCGTTCCTGAACAAGTTAAGTCCCTCCGAACCTCGGTACAGCGACGGGGTGAGATGGATAACTTGTTTGTAAGATGCGGTACGTGACTCGTGTAAATTCCCGTCGGCTCGTTCGATGCCGTTTTGATAAATTCATGGATCCACGAAAACGTTTCCATCCGACCCCCTCCATCCCCACCCCTCCCCACGGGAACGTCCTGTCGGGAGGATAAATTACGTTTGCGGGGAAGCGCCTCCAACGTTTTCGAGTACAAATATCTCGATGTTGCCGCCGTGACGAGTCACCTGACTTCATCTGATACTATTTTTAAAACAATGTTCAATTTTTCTTTTGTTGAGAAATTCTTCAGAAATAATAGATACTTGAATTTGTCTTTCTTTCGTTAAACTTTGTCACGAGGTGATTGCGGATTTTTATGCAGAACGATGATTATTTTTCTAAAATAATTTATAAAGACAGGAGAAAATATAGAAATTTATTTTTCCTGTTAAGTATCTTATTGGGTTCACAATAAAATAGAAATCTTGTTACATTCGATGAAAGTTTGGTCTTTTATTGTATTACAGAGAACTCTATAAATGCATAGAATCCGCGGTCTAGTCATGAAATTCTGACTTCTGAATTTTGTTGTATAAATAAATAACTAGGCGTCAGCATTGCACGAGAATAATTTATCGAACCTATAGAATTTTCTTCCGTTTCTTAATTAACGAAAAATGGTGGTCCATTATAGTCACCCCTAATTGTTTTAAGCAGTGTATCTATTTGGACGACGAATAATAAACAAAAACCCTAATCTTTATCACTCTCTCGAAATAAATGAAGAAATCGTGTGCGTTTCTAATTTATATGGCGCAGACAGGAACAGTAACCTGGAATAGACTCGATCTAAAAACGGTCGGTAACAAATAATAAGGCAAACATTCTCGAAAATGCATTATTCAAGAGAAAACATAATCATATATTACCTGCAACCGTAGTAACTGTTGATCCCGTGCCGCATATCAATTTCCTTCTCTGCATGCGCATTTTCGTGACTAATAATGGCGTCGTGCCAGCCACGAAATCGGTTCGACGGAATTATTTTTTCTTTCGTTCAACCCTCCTGGACTCGCATGACTATTCAGTGCATGGTGACTCGCATCGATCTCTAACACCGATTTTTAGGTGATCGAAATGTGATATTTATGCCGTATAGTTTCAAATAATTTATTCTTAATATTCATCTACAATTATTATCGGATGAAAAAATACGCAAAATAATTTCGAAGAATATTTATTTTTTGTTTTAACATTCTATAGAGACAGTCATTGATAATTTCAATATAAAAGTACATACAGCGGATAAACTTTTGAAAAATCCAATTTCTAGTCGTAAACGTTTCTGCAGAGTAAAGAATTGTACCAAATTTTGCGCTGTTTTGGTACTGTGTAAAGATGCCAATCTACCAGTCGTGTTGTCACGTTTAACACATTTTCTAGAGTCGCATAACAATGTTTATAGTAAATAATATTCAAAATTGTCGTTTACATGATACATACTTATCTCGTATGACATTATTGAAGTCACATTTGTTTATTAGTACTGCTGAATAATGTTATTAGTTCTGACAAAATTTGACGTTATTGACTTCGGGCCATCTTTGCTGTAAAAAATTTAATAACTTACAAATAAACTTCGGATTTTTATGCAAAATGACATTTTGCAAACGAATTTATTAAGACAAGAGCAACTGTAGAAATTTTCCCACCTTTTGCCCAAGACTGTATCTCCGATACATCCTTTTAAAACGTATAAATACGAATCCAAGAAGCTCTCGGGACCACAATCCCCTCACGTGGGCCGTTTGACAAACAGCCGTATATTTATGCAAATTCCCCCGGTCGAAATCGGGAAACGAGAGAAGGACTTCTGCCTTCTTCGAGCCGTTACAAATTGCCACCTTGAAGAGGGGCGAGAAAAAAAAAAAAGTTTTCGCGAGTGTCCACGAAACGGGGTGTCACGTGCCTTAAATGAATCTCTTCCTATTTCCACGACGTCACGATGAAAAATGGAACGCACTTCGTTCTCGTCTGGTCGGTGTGTGTCTCGTTTACCCCTTGACGAGGGTACGGACCATTAATAATCGACGCGTACCCGAGTGTAGTCTATAATTGTGAATGTATCCGGGCGGCGATCGCTGTCGATCAACCGGCCATTCGATAACACGTAGCTCTATGTACTCTATGAAATTACTCTAATATCGTCTTAATTTCAGGAACGGGCTTCGATCTGGCACCGTTGGTGGCGATGTCTGATGTTATGGAGTCGCGTCGACGAATTTACGCCAACTTATTTTCTCGTTATATCTAAGTGCAAATTATGTAGTGTTAGTCCCCTCATACGATAGCGACTTTGTCTTCCATATTGTGACCTAATTCTATTATATATGGATTGTTAGGATTCTATGCATTTACGGCGTTTGCTAGTTGATTGGATGTTGTTGTAATCTTCTGTTGTGTGATTTGACCACACTTGTTAACGTAGTCTCGAACGTATTTCATACGTAAGTCTTTCTGAAATAAGTCGTGCCTTTTAAAAAAAAAAAAACTGTTCCAATGTTTTCCAATGACAGGTCAACGGAACGATTAAAAAATCTGTGTATACTCTAACGGTGACCCAGTATCAATATGTCATTGGTCCCCTGATGATGCTGACTTCAACGCTTACGAAACTACCAGTGTAATAACTTTGCTTCATTAATTCTTCATTAGTAAAATATTCAAAGTGCCTGATAATTATATGATCCATTAATTAGGATCTTTAACGATCGTCTGATCGAATGTTCAAAGCCTCTAAACTTCGGTTCCTACGCAAAGTCCAATACTCCTGTATGCCCAGATGTTCCAGTAGTTAAATTCTCCGACTGTCTAGATGTTTATTAAAGCCAGTCCACGAAAAATTTCCACTGAAATGTTCCGCTCCTACTAAAAATTTTATTCCATCCATCAAACCTCCGAACGGCAAATAAACTGGTTGTCGACTTCACATATGGAAAATACCGCTGGTTTCAATGGAACAGGAATATAGACAGGGCCGCCGGTGTAGGCCATGAAACTTTCAAGACCGTCGAAACTTTCGAAAATCCCCCTCGGTTCGAAAACACAATTGACACGCCTGATCGAGTTATCCTTACGGGAAGCTGGAAGATCCGACGCTGGTTCTGGAATAAAAATGAGACTGGCATTATCCTGAGAACTCTTATCTTTCTTTTATAACGAAATCAATTAAGAATTATTGGCAAACAATTATTTAATGGCTTTAACTGTTCAAAGATGAGAATAACGCTTTTAAGTACTGCTGTCTTTCACTATGTATTATTCGAATGAAATTATGCACGACATAGCTATCTAAGAATTTGGATTTTTGAGATCGTAATTTTTACTACACTTTCGTAATCTGGGGTTAATTAAATACATGACTTAAAAAACGAAATAAAATATGTCTGGTTACGTAGAACCTTTTTCTATTGTGTCAGCCACGTGTTAAGGGTACAAATTACTCGTTGACAGTACAACACGTTGGTTTTAGTGTCATTTACAACGCTGCAAGTAATTACATAACGGTCAAAGACGGGGTAGCAGCGTTTGTAACCCGTCTGTGAAACTATATAGCAAGGCCATTCGTGAACTGTAAGTTTTCCCCTTAATTGCCTCGTTGATTACGTTATCAGAAGCAATCCTCGTTAATCACGCCTTGCCTCACACACACACACACACACGATTTTTGAAATTGATGCCCTTCGTTTATACACAGATGAAGATGATAGAAATTTCATCCACAAAGTATACTGTCCAGTGAGAAAATATTCCCTTTCAGCGGGGTGAGGGAGAGGGGGGGGGGGTATAAAATTGTTCTAATTAGTCTAATTAGTACAGCAAACACGGCACTCGAAAGCCCAACAAGATTATAAATTCACCGGCCTGTTTCTTAATTTGATTAACGTTGCAACGATGTTTCTTTGGGGATGGTTAACGCGGTTCTGTTTACGTAATTAAAAGGACAACGAATCTCGGGACATTGCGTCATCTGTGTACACAGGCAAGGGCTTTAATTTGATAAAAGGGTTTTTAATTGAAAAGAAAAGAAGAACACGCTTGTCTCTGTTATTAAATCGCAGGGGAAATCTGTTGCAGTCGCGGTCGTGATAGCGTTTTTCATCTGCTGGGCACCGTTCCATCTGCAACGGCTGATCGCGATTTACGGGACGAACTCGGACCACATCACCTCGAACAGCAAGTGGATAGAGTTCCTTTATCTTTTGATGACCTACATATCCGGGGTTCTCTATTACGTGTCGACGACGATTAATCCGATTCTGTACAACATCATGTCCAACAAATTCCGTGTGGCTTTCATGGTAAGTTACGTTATTTTCGAGAATCTTTGTAGACTAACCGTCGATTCTAATTTCTGGAGGTGTGTCTCCACTCGAGGGCTCTAAAATTTATTGAAACGCTTAACAATGGATTGATTTAGTTGATGTTAATTGTCATAGGGGAAATGATTTTTGACGAACAATTAACCAACTAACTGCATTGGTCTAGTACAGTAAATGTCTACTTTATCACTCTATAGACAATATCTAAAACATTTGTTCACGATCGGCAGTACGAAACTTCTTTAAATAACATCCAAACGTTAGAAAAACGGTGCTATTATGACTACTACTGTTCGTTATTTTATACGTTGCGTTTAAAGAAAAATGTTTTGGGAATGTTTTAATAGTGTTCGTATGACTATTGGTTCTTACGTAATTCTGTCAAATAAGGTAACAGCCTTTTGCGAACAAATCTGTGAGAATTGTAAGAATTATTCAGTGATAAGTAAATTGTAGAAAAGCTCGAAAGAATTGTTTAATTGTAGGAAAAATAAATTTGAAGCCTCATAAAGGGGTAGGTAGTTTAAACAAACCAATGGCTGGTTGAAATGTTATATAGATTTTTATAGTGTAATAAAGTATATATAGGGAAAAAAGGTAAATCGAAGGTTCTGAGATCTCAATTCACCGTTCATGGAAATGTTTTTGTTTATTTTACAATTTTATTGCGGAAACAGCGTAGTGTTGGTGCTGGGTAATAATTCTGGTACATATACAGCAAAAACACAAAGTCTGGAACGACGGGCAGACAATAAATACATGTTTGTTGCGTTGACATTTTTTATTTTATTTTTTACCTCATCTGGAAAAGGAATTTTATTTACCTTATGAAATATTTCTCGTGAAGAAGTTAATTCGACGGTACACCATGCATATTTTAGCAGCCTCGAATCAATTTTTTTACTGTATGCACGACAATTATCATCCAGTATCAGGTATGCTGTTTCCGCCATAAAATTGTAAAATCAAAAAAAAATATTTCGATGAAGGGGAATCGATCCGAGGACCTCCGATATACCAGGCAAACGACAGTTCAATTTAGAGTGTTAATTTATCTATTTCATACCATAAAAAAATATGTAAATACAATAACAATTTGCAATTATTATTCCTGTAATCGTGTATGCAGTGTTTAGTAGTTCCTACCTCCTAGAAGTTTACCTACATTTATAAATGAAATATTACTCTGCATAACGTTATATATAAAAGGCAAATTTGCGATCACTATTGACGCTGTGAAAACTCTATAGTCAATGTTCAAATTATGTTCAAAACATGCTTCGAAATCTCATTCGAAAAGTAGCATACATCAAACGTATCGAAGGTGAAAACTCAAGAAAAAAATTGATCGTTGAAAATAAATACTTCCTAAATTTTCTCTCAATCTTCATTCAAGAGCCCTAACTTTTCTAGCAGTCATCGACATCTCCATCGCTCTACCCATAGTTCTTCTACTTGGCCCACCAATCAATGATCACTCTACTTTCGTCGAACATACCAGCTGTTTTATATTTTCACAGGAAACACTGTCGAGGAGCTGCAGAATCCCAGGCCTGGCGATTCGAAACGAGCAAAGGTCTTACTCCAGCCTGTCGCGATCCCAGCAAAGGACTCTGGGCGCTTACGGATCTAGGACGGTCGGCACAGTTGGTACAGCAGTGGCGCACGAGAGCACCGACTGTTCCGGAAATTCTGGCAAAGAAGAAAGCCCGAAGCAGATGACGTCGTTGATCGAGCAAGTAAACGACGCCGAGACCACCGTCGAGAAATTCAATGAGAGACGGAAAAGCGAGGAGATCAGGCACCTGGAGATCCTCGTGAAAGAGGTCCGTCATATCGACGGTTCGTTGAGGGACCAGAGAAATTGCGGCGGTGGTGAATCCAAACGATCGATCACGACCAAATACGCGACCGTGAAGGTCTCGAACGTGGACGGGTCCGAGAAGAAATGGTGGCGACTGCTAAAGTGGTTTCCTGGCTTGAAATCCCTGAAGCTAGCCGGAAGAGACAGCTACGCGATACCGGAAAATCGTATCTTGGAGAATCCTGGCCTCCACAGAGAAGAGTTCTCGATGACCATGTGGAATGTCCACGAGGCGAACGATCAGAGACCGGTTTGAAGGACAATCTTTGAAGACACTGTTGGAAGTGAGCACTTAATAGTGTTCATATTCAATAGAGGATCGTGGAGATCGTTTGGAGACTGTGTATGGTAGGACATTAACGAAAGAATGAACTGGATCTGGAAGAATATATTCTAATGATATATATATATATGTATAGATTATCTTTAATGATGCTGAGAGATTACTAGTTTCATTTTGTATTATAAAACGACGTTCAGCGTTGGGGGTAGGGACACTTTCAGCGAAATGATTGATCTCTGGAGCTGGACTTTACTCGAAAGCCCTAGCTTGCGAAGTGTGTGTGAAAGAAACGTTTGCTGTTTGAGTAAAATGAGTGATCCATTGGATTGTTACGTGTGAGATATTAGACGATGACGTGGTGCAATAGAACTTGAAAGAACCTCAAGGTCTGGGCTCAAACTTGACCTACATACAATAAAATATTTATATAAATGTTGATGTTATCAGATCTAACTCATAGTTTACAACATTTCACGCAAATTTAATTCAGTATAATTGAACAACAATGAGAAATCCATGTTCTGGTGTACAGATTTATCCAGGCCTAAAGGCCAGATTTAACTGTAACTGAGACTCAGACCAAAAATTATATACACATTCCGATTTAAAACGTATAATATATCAAATGTAACAACTCAGTGTTGCAGATCGAATATTTGTAACATTTTCTCTAAAATTTGTATCTTTCTACTATAATGCCTACAAGTTGTTATTGTAACTCATACTACCACTAGCAGAATCATCGACACCGGCAAGAAAAGGAAGAAAAGGGGGCATTTGTATACGGATTGTTTCGTAACATATCGATCTCACTGCATTCACGGTAATCTTGAGATACTAGAAAAATGAAACAAATGCCATATAAGTACGGTTACCAACGAAAATTAAGACACAAAACAGTTTTTATGAACGTCATATCTGTTACTCATATTTATACATAATACATTCTTATGCAGTATTTGATACTTTATCGAAATTTGGGATGAGCTATTAGGCATTTCATTGAAAAAATATACGGTGACCGTTATATTTTGATAAAAAGGTCCTGGGCACTGTTAATGAGAGATTCTCGAGTATAACGCTGACTTTTTAACGAGGTCTAACACAGTGATACAGCTTGGAATTCTGAAGCCAATGGTATTTGTTTCAGCGGTATAGGGTAATTAGTTTATGAAATATTTAATGTTCAATAACGAGAAGTCTTCGACCACTCATCGAAGATTTACTATACCGTTAAACAGGGCAGAACTTCGTAGGAATTTTTGCCCCCACTTTCTTTTTCACGTGAATCGGATCAATATTGTACGAAACACCGTCACTAGTAAAACGGTTAACAACTTAACCATCGTCGGTAGATTAACTTTTCGATGTCGCCGAAAACTTTCGAACCTTTTGTGGCGGGGACGCGTCAACAGGGCGCGGAACTCATTAATCCGGTCACATTACGAGGAATCACGGGCCGTAATGTACACCGAAAGCTAGATCGGAGTGATTCGGTGGCTTAGCCCCGGATCGTTTTAAGCATCAAGAAGACTGATCCTTATAAATCGTATTTTTCAACGTACAAATTGGATCGCGATCTCGATCGTCACGTTAGACAGACTTTCCGCGTGGTCGTCGTTTCGCTGGCCGATGAGAAATAATAATTATACGATCCATCAATGTACAATTGCAAATAATTCACGTGTAATTACGTTTCATAATCATCCGGTATCCATTGATGACTCAGTTTTCATTTTAGACGGTTAATCACAGTGAGAATTGAAACTGATTTCTGAATTCAGTCAGATCTTCGATAGCATAGAGAACACGTCGAAGTTACTCTATTGTAGAGAATAATGGTATGTCTTTATATAATTACATACATAGAGAATTGTAAATACGATAAATGGCAAGGGAGTATTGTCAATCTTGCCGAAGCTATAGATATATCATAGTCGTTTTAGTTTGAACGAAGCCTTCGCGGATAGTACGAAATAACAATTTAATCTTGAGAATGTGATATTATTTATTGTGTAATTGTTAGTGGTGTTCATTATCGTCATTGATTCAGCAGTAGCTATCCGCTTCGCAACAGTGTGCGTTCCTTGTTTGTGTTGTTTGTAAGTAGATGTATATTCAGTAATAATATTTTTGATAATTATACGGAAAAGCGACAACTTACTTTCCCT